GTTTCAGCTGGAATGCAAGCATCTCAAAACCAGGTCTTTAATACATTCTTGTGACTGACTATCAAATCATATCAGCTTTCCTTCACAATGGGTCTGACAAAGTCTACTTTTTTAAACCAAGTCTCTTGCCTTCACAGAAAAGATGCCTTTGGCAAATCATCCATTCCAGGTAGATGGAGGCAATGACACAGAGTTACATTGCCTCTTGTCAGAGCAATGGCAACTCACTGAAAGAAAAGGGGGAAAAAGGTATTAAATCCCTGCTGGGATTTCTGCAGTAGACAGATTATGAACGAAGCACTTCATGATGACTCAAGAAGAGTTTTGGGAATTTTTTCCTTCTGTATGGCTTGGGTCTTTTATAGTACCAGTTATCTCTGTGCAGTTTGGAGTTAAAGGATTGTGGAAATACAGACAATGAGAAAAATCAAAGGGATTCTGACTTCAGGTAGGGAATGTGTATCCTAAGACATTTTGAGAGGGTTTGTGCTTCATGGAGCATGTGTAAAGGCCTGATGTGAATCAGGGAAATGAGGACCTTAGTACGCAAGTTTGTGACTACTAAGTACAGACGTTTGTATTTCCAGTGTATAACCTTGAACTCTTAAAAATAATGGAAGTTTTGTTCTCCAAATAGCTCTTGTAATGAAGCCTCTTTCAAAAGACAGATGAATCTTGGGAAGCATTCACAGGTCTGTATCAAAATAGAAAACTGTAGAAAGTTCTTACTGAGAAAAAAATGGCTTTCCATTCAAAACTATTATTGGGCAGCGGGGAGACAGAACAAACACCTTCCCCCTAAATTGATTGGATTATGTATATTTTGGAAAAAAAAAAAAAAAAGTGACTTTGGTTTCACCTTTTATAATAGGATTTTCAGGAACAAATTTAGACCTAAGTGTTGTTGATGTTAAGATGACACAGTTTCTCAGGAAAGCTAAGAATAAGGTGCCTGTGGCCAGCATTCCTGGGCCAAGTCCTCTCTTCTTGATGCACTTTGCTCCCTGTTAAAAGCAGTCACTCACGTGTCCCTACAGGTTGTGCTGGTTTAAATACAACAGGGAAAAGCTGGCAGAGCTGAAGCTCTCTCTTGACTTTAAGCAGTCTAGTTAAGCCAGTGCCTGTACTTGGGGCAAACTTATTGAAACCAGTTAACTCTATAATCAGTTTAACTAGCACTGATGCTGCACCAAATTATATTAAATCACTGTTAGAATTTAACTTGGTTTATCCGCATCTGCTGTGGCCTTTGCGCCAGTTTAATTCTGCAGATTTATTGCACCAAATAAGGTTGTCCCCACAAGCTTTATTCCATTGCTTTTACTGAGTTTTAAAGGTTTGTTCCCAGCCCAGATGTCACTGTTGAGTGGCAGCACGTGGTGTCTCACTCTGCTGTTGCTCTCCCAGACGTAGCCCCCCAGGTGCTCTGCTGGCCACGGACCCAAGGGGAGAACCCTCAGATGTCTCTTCTCCATCCTGCAGTCCCTCCCTAGGCCAGGGAAGATGATAGAATCATAGAACGGCTTGAGGTCCTGGAAAGGACCTTAAAGATCCTCCATTTCCAATGCTGTCCCATGGGCAGAGACACCTCTCAGTAGATCAGGCTGCCTACAGCCCAATCCCACTTGGCTGCAGGATCTGCAGTTCCTCACTGCACAGAGATGTGGTGGCCTCCAACACTGTCTGCTTGGAGCTAGCAGCATCTGTTCACTCTCTTAACTGTGGAAATCTTGAAAGCCAAGTCTTTTGAACAAGAACTGGAAGGAATAACTGAAATCCCAGGCAAGGGTTTTTTTAATGTTTCCTAAAGCAGAGTCAGGATGACATTGCTGTTGCAGCTTCTGTTTGTGCTACCACTGCTGTTGCTAACCCGTGTCATGAGATAGCATCTGGAAAGAGGAACGCATGAAAATCAAACCCTTAAGGATACTGTGTAGTTCCCCTTGAATTTTTCTGTCACCTATCCATTTAAGTACAGAAGAATATGGTAGAGATGAGGAAAGAAAGGGCTAGGGATTACTGCATGACTCATTAAAGTAACAGAATTCATTCAGGAGCCCAGCTGCAGAATTAATCACCTTCAGTACTGCTGATAAAACCAGCCTGGGACTGACAGCATTTTAGACTTTGTTCCAAGTATGGTGAAGTAGTCTTAGAAGCTCTATTTTAAAATGTGACTTCTGCTTATCTATCCTGGGGTGCTCATGAGAGAACCAGAAACTTTTTCTATGAGAAGCAGATGCAAATCTTGCAAGGAATATTTTTAGAAGTGCTGTGTGGGGTGAGTTGTCCTGCCTGGATGTGGGGCACCCAGCCTGTTATTCTCTCTCTCTCAAAAGAATTGTTGGATTACCCCCAAAACATCTGTCTACTTCTGGTGTCTGGCAATCCCTGCATGCAAATGAACCATGTGGAATTATTGCACTCTATGTGGCTGCTGGCTTTCTTGTATGTCAGAGTATTCTGCCCAGTAAAGAGAGAGGGTAGAAACAGTTTCTTGCCTCGATCTGCTGGAGTAATGCTGTTCTCATCCCAGATCTCACAGCATACAGTACAGAGTATGAGTGCTAAGGCCTGCCTGGGAACTTTCTTCAAAATTGTCACATGCCTGTTTGCTTTTTTGAATAGCAGCATTGACTGCTTCCTTTTCCCTTCAGATGAATGCACAAACAGTTGCTGTGGGGAAATTCTTTCAAACTGGGAACTCTGCTGAGTTGGGTGGCAAATGTTTTGCCTACTGACAGAGATACCAAATGATGTTGCTGCTCCTGATGTCACCAGAGATCCCCAAACTGCACTTTGAGTGACAGTACTGATGGGAGAACTGTTTCAAATGGCATTTATAGGTCAGGAGAAGAAAAATACAACTTATGGGATCTGTAATCGAAGCTGCTACAAATGAGGGTGACAAGGAGTAACCATCGAGGGGAAAATAATCCTAACAATAAAGCAGCTCTGCTCAACATGCTTGCTGCCCATGGCTATGTGGTTGTGAGAGTGTTTTGGACCTGCTCACAGATCTTGGGCCTTGGAGGAATGATAGTGCCACAGAAAACCTACATGAGAAAGGTCTCAGTGGGGTTATTTCTGTAATGTAATCAGTGGAATAAAACTCAAGTTCTGCCACTGATTTGATGTATGACCAGTGACCTTTTTGGTGTTTTATTTTCCACTTTGTCAGTAATTGCTCTTCCCTGCTTCCCTAAAGCAGCTGGACATCCACAACAGGGAAACACTCAATGCTCCATAGAATTGCTCTACAGAAATCTAGTACTCATGACAGCACAACAGCCACTTCTTCTTTAATTTCACTGAATATCTCTTTTGAGTTTGCTTTCCTTTATTTTTATAGCAAATTAACTGCAATATTGGCATAATAGGTTCACCTTCAAGCACTCTGTTTGTTTGGGGGGTGTGTTTATGTACTAATTTCCAGCTTCGGCTCAGGGGAAGCATTGTTCCTTCTCTCTGAAAGACAAGCTCTACAAGAGAATTATAAGCACCAATGCCATCTATTATGAAAAGAGCTTTTTGTGACTCAGCAGAACGCTGTCAAGGTCCCAATTAGCCCAGGTACAGTGAGATATTGCCCACTGAACACCAACTGCGTGCTGGCCCAGAAAAGGGGTGAAAGACAGAAATAAGGGCTTTGTGGGGCGATGAAAGGAAAGGCAGTGTTCTCTGTGCTGTGAGCTGTGCGCATGCTGCTACTGAAGCTGCAATATCTCTAGAGCAGTGTCATTGCCTAGGACATAGATTTGCATACTGGATCTTTAGAACTAGTGCTATAATTAAAACAAAGCTGAAACCTCTTATGCTGTACATTTTGAACAGCAGAATATATCATTTTTGCACCTAGAAAAATAGAAGGGAACCCTTACAACCAGCTGCGTCCTGCACCGTGCTTCCTTGCACCATCCTTCACTCACAAAAGCATCTCATTGATCTCAAGGAGCTCAGCTGGAAGTACAGCTTAGCAGTGGGCTTTTTGCAGGTCGTTCTCACTGTTTGTTTGTTTGGTGGTTGCTTTTTCCCCCTCCGTTTCTCCCCCAAAGCAGTTAGCAAGCCCACGGCTCCTCAGAGCTATCCCTACCATCTGCCAATGTGGGCTCAAAAGAACACTCTTCGGGGCCCTATCCAAGTTGTCTCCTCTGATTCAGATTCAGGGAAGTAATCGCTCTCGCTGTGCAGTCACTGCACAGAGTTTGGAGGCTGCAGAGCCATTTGGGACCCAATGCTGATATTTGTGCTCAACTTTGCTTGCGTGGGGTGCGATGTGAGCAGCCAGCCAGGCTGTTGCAGTCACAGCATCCCTCTCTGGGATGGGATGCTTGCTTGTGTCCCTGCTCCTGCAGCAATCCATCTGGCGTACTTCTCATGATTTCTGCTGCAAATGATTGAAACCCCACTGTTTATGTTGTTTTTTTTTTTAAAGTAATTTTACCACACCTTTCTCAGCGATGTTTATGGTTTGTTTTTTTTTTTTTTCCTCATTTATAAATGCATGTAAAACTTGAATTGAAATTGCTGTGCTGGAAATTCACCTCGTCCTGGTACGGGAATCCCCGGCATTCTGCATGTATTACCACAAACCTCACTCCGTGTCGCCTCGACACTTTCCCTGCACATCGTTTGCATTCAGAGCGTCCCTCCCTGCCTCTCAGCGCACGCCGAGCCCGTCCCGCTAACAAGGGCCTGCCCCCAGCTCGTACTTTTCCACTTTGACCCCGAAACGCGGATTTTCGGGACGTCACGGAAAGCCCCGCCTTGTAAAGGGGCGGTGACGTCACGCCCAGCTGCGCTCAGAGCCCCGTGACGTCACGCCGCGAGCTCCGAGCGGGGCGGGGGCCGAGGGGCCGCAGGTGGGCACGCGTGGGGCTCGAGCCGTAGCGTTGCGGCGGGCGGAGGCGGCGGCCCGGCCCGGCCCCGGGGCGGACTCAGTACCGGGCGGGGCGGACGCGGCGCTGTGGGCGTGCGGGAGAGGCGCGGCGCGGCTCGGAGCGGAGCGGCGGTCACCTCGCGGCTCTCCTCTCGCGGCGGCGACGATGCAGGCGGAGTCGGGAATCGTGCCGGACTTCGAGGTGGGAGAGGAGTTCCACGAGGAGCCCAAGACGTACTACGAGCTGAAGAGTCAGCCGCTTAAAAGCAGGTGGGCGGCGGCGGCCGGGCCGCGGAGGACGCGCTGTCCTGGCGTGGATCGGGGCCTGGGGGAAGGGAACGGGTTGGGAGCGGCTGCGATAAACGGCACCGGAGGGGAACGTCCTGCGGAGCAGCGCGTTAAAAGCAGCCATTGAGCCGGTGTTTCCTGCAAGAATGGCAGTTTTGTTCGGCCTGCGCGGGGCGGGCCCGTCCCCGCCGTGCCATTATGTAAAGGGCATTGTCGGCGGGGCACGGGGCCGGCTGCTCTGCGCTGCTTTGCTCCGCACTGCTTTGCTTTGCTCCGCGCTGCACTGCACTGCGCGGTCCCGTCGAGTTGCACAGCCCCGGCCGGGCGGGGACAGGCGGTGCGATGCGCTCCGTGCTTTGCGCTTTGGCTGCGCGGTCGCCGCAAGGTCTCGCGTTCCGGGCCGATCTCTTTCATTTGACTTTGAAAGCAGGTGTGTTGTGTGCGAGCGAGCGCTGGGGATTGGAAACTTTCGGCGGTGTGTCAGCTTCTTCCTGAAGTGTTTTTTTTCTTTTTTTTCCCGCAGATCCGCACTTTATTCTTACTCGAAGCGGCTATGTCGCTTAGATTTATTTTTTTCTTTTTAAGAGGAATAAAACCACAGAGTTCTATTTCTTTTGGTGTATTACTGTGCCCGATTTCACTCGTGGTGCTGGAAGTGCCCCTAGATGCCCTGAGCCCTCCTGCTTTCTGTGTGTCTCCACTCTGAGCTCTGGGCCAGGATGAGCCCTCACCTCAGCACCAGGTTCTGCTGTGGGTGGATCTCATTGCAGCCGGGGCTGTTAGCTTGCTTTCACAGTCACGGCTTGTGCTTCTGAACAATGCTCTGTGTCCGGCTGTGTGTGTAGCTGGAAAATGAATGGGAAGGTAAATATTAAAAACTGCTGGAACGAAGTTGGATTGCGTTGCGTGTCAGACTGACTTCAGATGAATTCTTGATCGTGCTCTGAGTGCTGAAGAAGCACGGCAGTCTCATAGTGAAAGACGTGAAGGGTGCAGAGGAGGTGGACCTGCTGCTGTGGAGGCAGCTGGGGTGGTGTGGGGTCAGTGACCGTGTTGTAGCAGTCACCGTGCAGGTCACCAATTCACAGCTATCAGCCTGGATTGCAGCAGCCTCAGGTTCTGGCTGGTGTGCGCTACAGTTTTGTCCCTTTGCAGTCATCTCCTCTGTAATCTGTAAGTTGTCTTGCACAAATGTTACAAGCACTCTTGGCTCTTGTGATGTGCTGCCTTGCTGTCACTTTGGGCTTCCCTGACTTTCCCCAGCATGTTGGCTGATGTGCTGACCTTGCTGTGTCACCTGCCTTGTGTGCAGCTGTCACCTCCAGGTGAGTCCCAGCAACTCCTGGCCACGCTGGAGCTGAAGAGCCAAGGACCCAGACATCCCTGCTAGGTCCATGTGAACCAGAGCCAGACTGATGGAACCTGATAATGGGTGGCAGAAGTTGCTCATAAAACTGCCTGCTTCATAGTGTGCAGATTATAATCTGTGGGGATTTCAGTACTCCTTCAGCACTGCTCAGGTCTGAACCAAGCCTGATGGGTGGTCGTTGGGGAATCCAGCATCACTGTGCTGCTTTCTTCTGTAATGCAATCAGAGTAATAGCACAGCACTGGGTTCAAATGGTGTCATGATGGGGCTGTAGCCACAAAAACTGCTTTCTTACAGTCCTCTCTACAGCTTTACCCAGTGGAGCAGGTGGAACAGAGGCAAGCACTGGTATTAGGGGTTGGGGCTTAATAATGATCTGCTACTTTCCCTGTTGAGAACTGTTGATTTCCTAGCAACGTTCAGGGCTTTCTCTGATGCTTTTTAACAATAAGAAGTGAGAAGCATCCTCGGCTTACTCACAGCACTGAAATTGTGAGTAGATAGAAAAAGGCACACCGCTCAGCAGTACATAGCAGTGCCAGTGGCTCTGACCCTAGAAGAAATGTTTTATTGTCACTTGAACTTGGTCCTGGCTGCCTCTTTTTCAGGTCTTGTTCTCCTCGCATCCTCCCCAGTTGCTTGTTTTTTGGTGTATGACATCCAGCTCGATATTCCTCCTTGTTGATGTGCCATCTCAGTTAGTCTATCCATATTTCATAATTGAAGTCTGCAATCCAAAGCTGCCAGGGGTCCAATAACAAAAGCTTTTTGCTGTAAATACTGTACGAAGTTAGACCAAGCCACAACTGAATACTAGAGGCCAGGGAAAAATGTCAGCAAAAAGCTTTAATCACAAGGGACGAAAAGAAGTCATTGGACAAAGATGCATCATTTCCAACCACGTTTCCTAAGCTCTCCAGGTCTGTAAGAACCTAGCTTCTTGTACAAAGCGCTAGATACACTTAGGGTTCTCTGGAATTTGTTGTGGTTGAACATCTTTGAAAACTGAGATGATGGTTTGGTTGCTTTGGTTTCTCCAGAGTGACTCCTCGCTGTGGGAGGAAACTGGATTTGAACTCATGTCTCAGTGGCTGGGCATGGTTTCCTTCCCCCTCTTCACATTTGTACTTCATTCCTCTGCTGCCTTATTTTTGGAGACCAATTTATGAGTACACACTCTTGAGTATATACGTGCTTGTATAATGAGCAGGTAAATAAGGTTTCCTTTTTGGTGTAAGCAGTGAACAGTGAAATGGGTGGAGTTTTATTTTCAGACAATCAATTGAAGAAAGTAATCAGTGATTGCCAGAAATAAACACAGATGTCACCTCTGCACGCAGCCACCAGAACACAGTTACAGTACATCTGTCACAGTGCTAACGTGGTTTCTTTAAAACATTTGACTTTTTAAAGCTCTACTTTGGGTATCAAACTGGGATCTTCAAGGGAGGGCCTCACAGCCTGCTGCTGTTGCTCGCAGTTGCTGTAGTATTTACTTTGTCCTCTTGCCTATTCTGCATGCTGTTACCACTTATTGACCCTGCTCCTGCCCTGTTCTGTACACGTTTTCCTTTGGGTGGATGTTGATCGGGTACCACTGAAGGCACAGCTTGACCCACTGAGGTGCACACAGTGCTCTGAACTGACCCAAATATGGCCAAAAATAAAAGACAAAAAAAAAAAAAAAAAAAAAAAAAAAGATTAAAATGATCTGTTTTCTTGAGTCCCTGTAATGTGTGTGCATTGGTGTGAGCTGCCTCTGAAGTGCCAGGACATAATTATCAGCTGTTGTCATTTACTTCCTTGCTCTAAATAAAGCCACATACCTGCAGTTAGGTTGCTGCTGGTTGTGCTATTTTCTTTCACCCTTTTGCAGCCAGTTTATATTCAGACTGGTTTGGAACGATGGCAACTACTGGAGTTATTTTTAGTGGAAAAAAATGATTAGGAAATGCTTTTAAGTTGTGTGTTAGTTGTAGAGGAAGCTTGTTCTTGCTTTATGAGCAATAGCATTGAGCTGTAGAGTTTGTCATTGCTGCGGCAGTGATGTAAGCTGTTGGTACCTTACTTCCATCTGCTTGTACCTCCCCTATGCCCGGCTGGGATCCCCTGGAAAGCACTTCACTTGCTTCCTCCTGATACTGTGCTGAGCACTGAAGACCAGATTTAATAGCAGCTTTCCTTATAATGCCCTGTGTTTGTTTAGGAAATGTTAATGTAACCAGAGGCAAACGTTTCTGAGATGTGTGCTTACTGTGGAGCCCAACAGGACTCTTCTGAAGTGCCTCAATCTGCAGATGATCAAATTTAATTTTGCAAATGATCTTTGCAGTGTGATTAAGTTTAAACTTGATTACATTGAGGCTTCTCAGCACTGAATTTGTGCTTTACTGGAGGTAGTCTTCATAGCACTGCTATTTACGGATCTTATTTGAGTGTTTTATATTCTGGTTAGGTTCTGCAATGCAGTTTGTTCAGGCTACTGCTTACATCTGTTCCAGTTGTGCAAGAAGTGGAAAATAGACTTTATTTAGAACTGGTCACATGTGCTCCCATCCAGGAACTGTGTCTCAGCGTGCTTAAAAAAATAAAAATGTATCTTGGAGGAACAGATTTAAAAAGTTCCTGAAATATTTTTCAGACTGTTATGAGGATTGTTATGTATTTTAAACTGAAAGGTAATAATGTCTGAGTTGGAAGTGGTATGAAGCTGGTGTTGGCTGAAGGCAATGGTAAGGGCAGTGGGAGCAGAGCTGAGCTGGAGGTCTGTGTCTTTGAAATGTCTTCCGTGGTGTTTCTGTGAGTCAGTAATCCCACCTTTGTTCTGCACCTCACATTCTCTTCATTGGAAGGAAACCCTGTTAGCCAAATATTCTTGTATTCTCTTACTTTGGACTTGAAAGGCTGTAATTGGCGTCTCTGTTGTGTAAACATATGGAGACAATAAGAAGTTGCACAGAAAAATGGTATTTCTTTTGTATTAGGAGCTGGTACTGATCTGTGTAACAGAGCATTTTCCATTGTGAAAGATTCCTGTGACCTTTTCTCTTTAGAGGAGCTCTCTCTGCTATTTGCAGTAGGCCTTTGCTGTTTAGCATGGAAACAGAAATAGCCCATGAAATTCTGTTCAGCATTTGCTTTGATAGGAGCTATTAAACGTTACCTTTTCACTTCCCCAGCTTGCTTTTCTCAGGAGAACTGTGCTTGGCTGCCAAGCTCATCATGCAGCACGCAGATATTTTGGGATGGAGCTGACTACACTGACTCTGCACCTTTGGGCAGATGCATTTATCAAACAATTGGCTGCATTCGTTGTGAGTACACACTCTACATGAAGTAAATCCGTGCCTCACTGCTGAGCCTCCCTCACTGGCTAAGACTGATTTCGACAGCCCAGGTTACAACTGGAATTGGTCTATTCTTCCATTTTTCATTCTGTGCTGTTTGTTTGTATGTTGCACTCTTTGTGATGGTCTCAGAGGGCTGTTCCAGAACTGTTGGAGGCAGTGTGACCAACTCCTGCTGCACTGTGTGATCAGGATCTAGAAGAAGAGAGCGAAAGATACCCTTGGATGCATTATCTTACTAACAAATTTTTCCCATCTGTACACTG